GGTAGCACTTTTGGGAATGTACGATTTCTGTGGGTAAGATATTGGGGAGTTTTGAAGACAGGATCGACAAAATGGTACTGTAAGGTGACACATCTGAAAAGACAATAAATCTTTCTACTTTGGTAACATCCCAGGACAGTTATCCTGCTGGGACCTGTGCTGAAGTGATAACTCTACATTGAGCTGAATAAAACACAAGGGAACACCTGTAACTGTTATTGTAAACTCTCCTCCCAATACCAAAGGGTAGAGGAGCTTGAATCCAAGTTGCATTTGAGCCTCAAAGAATGAATTTAATGAACTGGTACTGAAAGGTCCCAGACATTTTATGAAAAGAATCAAAACCAAGCTATCAGCCCCAATCATAAATGGATATGTGTGAAGGTTTTTGGAGGGAGGGCGTTGGAATAATTAGGTCTACCATAAATCTGTTCCAATTCCCAGATCCAGGCTTTCAGAGCATCAACATGGATTCAAGAGAAAGCAATTCATTTCTAACCCTAGCATGCTTGCTATAATCCATCCTGTTTCCAATGAGCTGGTGGCATCTGTTGGCAGAAGTTAAATACTGCATCCACCTTTAGCCCATTGGGAGCTAAAATTTGCCATTTTAACCTCTTGGGACCATTGCTTGCTTAATCATATGTACAATCTACCACTGGAAGTCCTTTACTTATCTATTAACATAAGGAAAACTCTTCCACTCAAATGCTCCAAGATTTCATCTTTCATTCTACATTAGCCAATTGGTTGTACTTTGAAACTGTAGTAAATGGCTGGGTTAATCTACCATTTATTGGCTTTAGAAGACACAGGATGGAGTTCCCATAGGCTTGTGCTGATTGAATTTTTTTTTAAAACTGAAAACACAAGGGCATAGAGTACAGAGCAACATGAAGCTGTTAAATAGTTAAAACAATAGAAGACAGCAACAACTGGGCAATGCCAAGTTTTGGTGTCAGGAACTGGGAGATGGTAGGAAAAAGTGAAGATGGGGAGAGTTAAGGTGTTCTGAAGTTTTGAATCCTAACAAAGTATGTTTGTTGAACAGGAGGTGGAGAAATGAGTCTCGAGAAGGAGGAGACTGAGAGATCGGACACTGGGAAGAGTAGGGTGTGGACATTAAAACTGTCAGTGTCTGAATCTCCAAAGGGTCAGAACTTTCCCATGGAAACATTCTCCTCTCAAACCTGTCTTGCCCACCAAAGAACACAGCAACTCCTCATAGCCAATCACATCAAATCGAATTAGAAAGGACAATCTGATTAGGAGTTTGGATTTGAAACCTCTATAACCCATAATATAAATATATATTAATGCTTATCTTAAAATAAATGCCATAGACTGTGTCAAACTTTGCCCCGCTGTGACTCCCCACATGATATAAATCGATCCCAAAAAGGAATTGAAACAAGAAAGTGGAACAGACTTTCTGGTCCTGTTCTTGTTGATAGATTGGAATGGGAATCTGTCTTTTTAAACAAAGACGCATGATTTGTGTCTGTGTGCATTAGCCCGTATGTGCTTGTGTGTGCATGTGTCCATGGGGCACATGTGTGTGTGTGTGTTTGTGTTTGCCTGCATGGTTGGCACATATTGCTTCAGTTCAAGATCCTGTTTTACTGTCACCAAATTTACAGTGAAAATATGAGCATGGTGATGATTCAAACAGACAGCGATGTGTTCCCGCTGCCACATCCCTGCCTGTCCCAAACGCAACACTGCCTGATCATCTGACCCTTCCATTTCTTAAGCCCGTGTAATTCCACAGGGTCAAACGATCGGAACAGTTCAATTGAAAGGCACTCCATTTCCCTGAAAGTAGTTCTTCCATTGATTGGATATTGGCACAGAAAGAGAAATGTTCGAGGGAGGGTTTTGTCCATTCTGGGGATTAAAGGGCCTTCACAACAGACAGCATGAGGAAAGGAAGGGGAATAAATGCACTCCTGAGTGTGTAAACTTTAATAGCACTGTACTCACAATTGTCACTTTCCCTACTACCCCCAATGAGAGGAAGGCAACTTTCTTACTGAATTCTAGCTCAGTTCTGATGGCCATGAAGACTGAGTTAACCACTGATCGCTCCAGTGACTGGGGAGCCTCAATTATTACACTGCACAGTGTATGTCTACAGAGTCCTGTCGGATTGAGCTTATAGAGGCGTAGCTGAGTAACAGCACAGTGATAGAGGCTTATTGCACTGTACAGCATGGGGCATTTTATTTCACTTACGACTTTCTGCAGCTTTTGATACTTTGAATATTAGTGTCAAAGGTTATAAGTTGGCAAAATGAGGACTTCAGGATGGAGAGGAAATGCCAAGTTATTGACCTGAGATAGATCTGACAGTTCTGATCCCTCAAAGAATGAGCCAGTATTACTCAGCAAAGTTGTCTCCACGTTTATGGACCGTAGAGGGGTCCTCAATCCAACCCAAATAGCATTTAGCCATCAGCAGTCAGTAAAGCTTCTTCAATAAAGCACACCTTTGCCCAGCAATTTGGAGCCAACAGCACAGGGGATGCAACAGGACTCCTGGTTCCCTTAGCATCCTGCAACCAATGGAGGAATGGAGTGTAGTGAGTCCTAATGCCCAGGGCAATCTAATGGAGATTAATTCTTTGGGAAGCTCCTGTCTTCGTGAGCAGTGGTCAACCCAGTGGCAGGAGCTCTCGTAGGCATAGCTCAGATCGTCATATCTCCAGCCCCATCCCTTCTCAGCACTCCATTTGAATGATTTTCCACGTGTTTTTGACTGAAGCCTCACTGACTGCTCGGGAGAAGAATAAGGATCCCACCGGAAGAGTGTCCAGTTGTAAGCTCTTCGGACGAAGCGAAACCCTGGGTTCCAAAGCCAGACATCACTGGGATCTGCAACGTAACACTTAACATATCGTTTATATCTCTCCATTTACTTAATTAACGTGCCAGAGAGACAGGAACAAAGCAAGACAGACAGAGAGTGAGAGAGTAAAACAGGGGGAAAAAACGGTCAATATGACCTAACAATAATATCTTTCTTATATACAAGCCTTTTAATATTAATTCTGATTAAAAAATAGAAAAAAAAGTGCTGCATCCTTTCAATAATACTGTTTTATAGGATAGATTAATTTTTTTTTGTTTTTTTCACATATTTTTCATTGAGTTTTGCAATCTGGAAGGAAAATATAATTTTTTTTGCATATGACATTAAATATAATCCTTACAGTATGTCATGCAAAGTCATGCTGAGGCAGAGAGAAAAATGCACCTTTTAAATATGTTTTTTTTCGATTCCCCCCATAGAGCTTTCTCTTTTCCCTCCGTTTCAAGATTTTTGACCAGTCGTTTTGTCCCCATTCTACCACAATTGTCGCACTTTGATCTGTCGTCTTCGCTCCTGCGTTGGATCTTCTTTACAACAAAATTCCATGTTCTTCGATGTTTTGTCCTCATTTATTTGCTTCTTCCGTGTCGTCGTCAGCAAGTAAGGATTTTTTGTGGGGGCTTTTTTTTTGGGAGGAGGGGAGGCATCTTTTTGTTTTGATTTTTTTTAAAAAAAAGTTCCCTGCTTGAAAGCGAAGAGAGAGCGAACAAGACCAGCAGGAAAAAGGTGACGGGTGATGGGAGGAAGGAGGCGACGGAGAAGGAAAAGGAAGGGAAGAGAACACGAACAAAGCAGGGGAAGAAGGAGGGAGGGCAGCAGCATGTTGGAAAAAGGGGAGGCAGAGGGGGACGGTTGGAGGAGGAAGGGGTGGCAGAAAAGTAGCACAGAGTGTGGAAAGTGCAGGAAGGGATCTGGGGTGGGATAGCAAGAGGATGGAAAGGAAACTAAGGAGATGGGGGTGGGGAAGGAGTGTTGCAGTAGAGAAGGGATGGGAGTCACTAGTTGACCGTGACGGCCTCCAGTTGCATGTATCTAGAAATCACTGGACTGTCCTTATAATTATCTGTGAGTAGAGAAGAGAGCAAAAAATGGCTAAGGGACAGCTTTGACCACAACCTCGCTCTTGCATAACAAACATGCAGCAGTCGAGGCTGAACACTCCACTTCAGACAGAACCTTTCGTTTCTTTTTTTTCAAAAAGGAAACTTTTTTTCCGATTTTTCTTTAAATTGTTCAACATGCACCAAGGCAAACGTTTCTCATTTGCTTTATTGCTTGCAATGGAGCTCCATGCATTAGAATGTGAGAGGAAGAAGGGGCAGGGTGGGAGGACGAGAGGGAAGAGAGATCCCGGCTCCAGTCTGAATCACAAGTCTTTGTGTGTGAGTGTGTGTCTCTGCATGTGCGTGCGCTGGCGAGTGTGTATGTGTGCGCGCAAGTGTGTATGTGTGCGCGCGAGTGTGTGTGCGTGCACGAGTGTGTGTGTGTGTGTGCACGAGAATGTATGTGTGTGTGCACGAGTGTGTATGTGTGTGTGCACGAGAGTGTGTGTGTATGTGTGCACGAGAGTGTGTATGTGTGTGTGCACGAGAGTGTGTGTGTGTATGTGTGTGTGCACGAGAGTGTGTGTGTGTTGAAGTGGGGTTCTTTTTTACTGTCTGTATGGCCCGTATATCCTGAGTGTACACTTTTGTTTTAAATTATTTAATCAAGTGGTCCTGGAAAAATCTGCATCTTCCCTCCATTCAGTAAGATCCATCATTCCATGAGGAAGTCAATCTTTCTTTCCTTCTCATTTCTGACTTTCTGAATGCTTTGTGGGAGATGGGTGGCGGAGATAATCTATTCAATTAAAATATAGAAAAATTCCACCCGGATGCCCTTGGGTTAATGGGGCTGGTCCTTGAATAAGCCAACAACGTGGCACAAATTGAACACTTTAATTTACCACTGGTCAGTAGAAAGCAGATTCTTCAACAGTCATTTGGTATATGCAGCCTATTGTTCAAGCAATGGTCTCTTGTGTTTTTTTGTACTCTTTTTAAATGATTTTTAATAGTCCTAGATATATATATAAATATATCCATATATATATCTATATAGGTATAGATACATACACACACACAGATATATTTCTCTAAAAAAATATTTCCCACTCTTTTGTATCGATGCTACAGAATGGATGGAATGGGTGATTGAGGTCGCCTCAATGGGCAAGGCGAGTTGAATGGCGAGGTGACAGGAGACAGTCGCAGTGCATTCCCACTCATGCCAGATATGTTGTTTAGGCTCCTCGACTTTTCATAACCTTGGGTTTCAAAAAGAGAGAAGAAAGCAATTTTTTTTGCACGTTCACCAAATAATGAATGAGTGATCTAGACTCCGAGACACTGCTTCTAACTCGCTGGAGAAAGTCTACGTTCCCCCCAACCCATGGGCGGACTGGAGGAGAAAGTAAATCAGGAACCCCACCCTCCCAAAAAAAAACTGCCAATCCTGCTCTTTGATCCGTTGGGGTAGATTCCTTCAAAATGGGTCTTTGCTATTCTGAGGGCAGTCTCAACTTGTTCTGAGGAAGGGTCACCAGATCTGAAACCTTAACTCTGATTTCTCTCCACAGATGCTGCCAGACCCTGCCAAGCTTTTCCAGCAATTTCTGTTTTTGATTCAGTCTCAACTTGGTTGGCTTTCTAACTGATGATAAACTCTAGGCTGTTGTCTCTCTCCCCACATCAGCAGAAGTCCAACTCTACTCTCACCACTAAATGAGTACAGTCTTGGAGCCAATCTCCATTTACTCACTTACCACATGAATCTTAAGGCTGCTTATAACTTAAATTTCCTTTTGCAATTCAGATGGAATGTCAACCTTTACTGGCTGAGCAGATAGTGTTGGAACTTCCAAGGGTAGAATGGTTTGATTAAAATCTACCTGTGTAACTAGCCTTCTTCTAACAAACAGCATTATCAATGAGCAGAACCGATTTTAGTGGGGTTGGGGAAACCGGATGATAATTGCTTAGATCACTCTAGACCCAGTGTACATGTTTCCTGTTCACCAGTTATGGAGTGGCAGTGTCTGTTCACTGACATGACACGACAATGACACCCCACAGTGGCTGGAAACCACAAAAAAAAGGGAAAATGTAATGGGTAGCATCACCAAACAGAATTGAAAGACCTGTGAATTTGTTCTGTTACTGGGTGGGAGACAGGCTTTGTGAGGAATGGAACATGGAACACCCATGTCAGTTGTGATCAAATCAAGCAGTCCTTCCACAAATACATGAATTGTTAAATTCGGAGTACAGCTCTCTCTCTCAACCGTGTTCTCAAGCTCTATTATGGGTCAGATGTGGGGTGAAGCTCCCTCTACCCTTTCCTATCAAGCACTCCCAGATTAGGTAAGTTAGAGGTTTACAAGATGATGAGGTATAGATAGAGTTGATAGTCACAGACTTTTTCCCAGGGTGGAACTGACTATTACGAGGGGGCATAATTTTAGTTTGATTGGAGGAAGGTATAGGGGAGATGTCAGAGGTAGGTTCTTCACACAGAGAGTGGTGGGTGTGTGGAATATGCTGCCGGCAGTGGTTGTGGAGTCAGATACTTCAGAGACTTTTAAGCAACACTTGGATAGGCACATGGATGATAGTAAAATGTAGGGTATGCAGGGTAGATTGATCTTAGTAGGATAATAAGTCGGCACAACATCGTGGGCCGAAGGGCCTGTACTGTGCTGTACTATTCTATGTTCTTTGTTGTTCTTAGCTCAATGACAGATGGCCCTCCCCCACTGCCCTGATTCTCAAAATGACCCTTAATTCCAATGACAAACAGTGCACTAAAGAATGAACTATTGTAATACCATTCTGTACTCAACCACCTTTGTGAAGTCTCCAGCACAACCTTTAGTTGTGGCATTTGTGTTGAATCACATCCATTAGGTCAAAATTGTCTCAAACTCACTTTATGTCAGACCTTAACATCCGCCACACATTCAACCTGTTGCTCTGCACTGGATTCAACCCAGATCCTGACATGAAGGACCAACATTTCGATTGCTTAACTGACTAAAGGCAGAACACAATGATCCTTACGCGTAACACAATTTTACTCCGAATTACTAAAACTTTGAGACAGATCTGAATAATGGTAATGTATCTCAGTAAACAATCTCCTGCAGTTCACTTTCTCTTTCCTGACTTTCCCAATGTCATAAGAACAGCTAGTTTCCCCACTGTGTCTCTGGGGGGTGCTATGTGCTGGCAGATACTGTCTGTATGATGTATGTATGATAATGTCGCGCATGATCGCATATAGCAGAAGGTAGAAAAGTAGAGGTTCACCTCACCCCTTGCCTAGAATCACCAAACCTTGCAACTAAAACACTTGACCAGAGAGGACCTCCCTTTTTTTGGAATTCTATGGGGGACTAAAGAGACTTCTATCAGGGAGTTAAAAGGTGTCTCAGAGTCAGTCATGGCAATATCTTCTATTTCATACATTCATGCTAACAGAACAGGTCTGCATTTTCTTCTCTAAGGAAAAGGCACAGATATATGAACAACTAAAATTTCTGAGAAGACTTCAAACAACCTTGCTCAAACATCTCGTGACTTCATTTTCTCTGAGTCCCTCCTCTCGCTTCCAAAATCAAAGGCTCCCAGCCTTTTCTACAAAAAAGTTACTTCCATGGATACAATGAAGACTCCCCCTACTCTCTTTCCTGGAGAAGTGAAGGAATTCAACTCCACCCCCCCACTACACCCAGAGAAAATAGTCAGGATCATCTGGAAGAGGGGAAGGAGTGACAGGAGACCTGAATGTGAATGTCAGTCCAAGGCAGGTTGAAACAATTCTCCTGGATGGACTCCTACACTTAGAAATGTTTCCAATCAAACTGTTTCATCTTCACCCATTCTCTGCTCATCAACCTTGAGCTATCTCTCCTACATGTCTTATTGCTGGGGTATGAAGTGCTGGCTTCAGTTCTGAGCTACCTCTGCCATAGATTTCTGACACTGGGCAACCCCTTCGTCTGTTCCTGGCGATGGTTTGCAACATGGAAAATTGAAATAGGGATGTGTCAGTGTAGGGATGGTGTTGTGCAGCCTGGTACGGAGAGTAGAAATGGCAAGGCATGGCACTAATGAGGCCATGGAAATGATGCATTATGGAATCGTCAAGGCAACAGAATGTGCAGAGGAAAGGACCAGAGTGGTCAAGGTCCAATGTGGAGGAACAACTAATGTAAGCCACCCCTTGGGGGAATCAGGTAACTGCAATGCAAAAAGATTCCAGTAAAGTCTGCAACCAAGAACTACCTCAGAGTCTTTGCTGGAGAATGCAAAAGGTAGAAATTCCTCACAGGGAATAAACAAAGAAGGTCAGCAGCTAAATAAAGTACAGCAGCAAATATCACATTGGACATCCTACAGCCCAGTCTGACGTCAACAAGCCAGCATTCCTTTCAACGATGAGTCCTCCAGAAGCATAAAGAAACATAGTAAATTAGAGCAGGAGTACGCCTTCAAGCCCTCTCTGCCATTCAATATCATCATGTCTAATCATCCAACTCAGTCCCCTGTTCCTACTTTCTCCCCTTACCCTTTGATCTCTTAACACATATCAAACTCCTTCTTGAATACATTTCTCAATCGCTTTCTGTGGCAGAGAATTCCACAGGCTCACCACTCTCCTCATCTCAGCCCTAAATGGCCCACCCCATATCTTTAAACTGTGACCCCCGGCACTGGAGTCCCCTGTCATCAGGAATATCCCTCCTGTGTTTACTCTGTTCAGTCCTGTTAGAATTTTATTCCCCTCAATCTTCTAAAAAAAAAACCCTCCAGTGAATGTAGTCCTAACCGATCCTGTCTCTCTTCATTCGTCTACTGTTGGTCAAGGCCTGCACAATGAAGAGCTTGTGCTTCATAGTCAACCTGAGCCAATTAATTACACAAAGCAAATTACTTTTCTGAAGTCGTCTTTGTTCCCAGGGATCCCACAGGGTGGCCACACCAGCTACCTGGTTTAGGCACTTAACCACAATTGGAATTGACGTCTAACAAAAAATGTCACTGATAATCTAGTGCAGGGAAACAGTGGACTTGTTCAGCCGTCAAATCCAAATACCAGAGTGGCTGTGGAGCAATATTCTATTCACTTTCTCAGAGGGATTTTTTTTTGGATATACACCGCTGATTTAAATGTTGGATCTTGGGCCTGTGTAGCTTTCAAACTTCATATTCAATAAAACTGTTAAAACCTCTAGAATTTGAATAAGATCTGAAATAAACATTAAGTTAGCCCCACTATCGAGTGACAAGACCATAGAAAGCATACTGTCCAGGTGCATAACAGCCTGGTATGGCAACTGTTCTGCCCAGGACCGTAAGAAATTACAGAAGGTGGTGTACACAGCCCAGACCATCACGGAAACCAACCTCCCATCTATGGACTCCATTTACACAGCTCACTGCCGTGGAAAGGCTGCCAACATCATCAAAGACCCATCACACCCCGGTAATGATCTCCTACAGCCTCTTCTGTCAGGCAGAAGATACAGAAGCCTGAACACACGCACCAACAGGTTCAAGAACAGCTTTCTCCCGGCAGTTATCGGACTGATGACTGGACTCTCTAACTTCAAATAAGGCTGATCTTGTTAATGTTGATCTTGCCTCACATACATCCTGTGCGATGTAACCAGGATGTCTTACTCTGTCAAAGTTTGTTTTTCAGCCTATGATCTGTATGTCCTTGCTTACTATGATCTACCTGTAATGCTCACAAACAAAGCTTTTCACTGTACTTAGGTAAACGTAACAATAAATCAAATCAAATCAAATCAGAATTGTAATGATTAATGTAAACCAAATCGCATTTTTCATGCATACCTTTGGACACTTTAGTGACCGTATTCAGGGATATAAGCTTGTGTCTAATTAGGTTTGGTTGACAAACTATCAGGTTTTAGATTATGAAGGTTTTCCCTTCCTTTTGTTTTCATTACACAAATTGTAGTCACCTCTTAATGCCGAGAAATTGGTTCTTCACTTTCAAGGTATGATTTCAAAATCTGGACCATCTATCAAGCAGGATCCAGATTCTTCAATGGTCACATTGAAGTGTGCCATTACTACAAACATCACAGTACAGAAGGATTCATAAAACCGTCAGAAATAGGTGCAGGAGTAGGCCATTCGGCCCCTGAAACCTACTATGCCATTCAATCAGATCATGGCCAATCAGACATTCCTGATGTCCCCTTTCCTGATTCATGAATGTTTGTGTCAAAGTGGC